ACGGATCAGATAGCCCAGGGACTGCCTCTATGACATTGTATCACTATGAAATAGTGATCTTTTGGTTAGTAGTTCACTAGCTACATCTGCTCTGAGAAATCAGTGATTTGAAAGAAGTTTGAAGTCACTAAGCCCAGGTAAGTGACTTTTGGACTCTGGTCCATCGATTTCAATAAGGTATTTGTGAACTGGATTTCATTGTTTCATTTTTCTTTCTACATAAGATGATTTAAAAATTACTTTCCTTTCCTGCTTGGATGACAGTAGAAGGAAGCCTTTTATTTGTTTCACTAGATCCAAATTATTTGCTGTGGGGTATTATTGGGTCACCTTTATTCACAAAAAAAATTGATTCCACAATTCAAGTGAAATTATTATAATCAATGATAATAATGCTGATCCTAAATATTGGGACAAAAGGCAGTCTACTGGCAAGACAGTGATTTGGACAGGTTTCATCCGTCCATACTGGTATATCATATTCATGCCACATTTTATGTTCAAGTCTCAGCAGCATCCAGTAGCATCCAGCACCACCTCAGCAGCAGAATCCCTCAGTGCAGCAAGAAAAGGACATGAATTATGGACAACATATGCACTGAGTTGTTTTTGCAAGGACTACATAAATAGTCCCTGTCTCTTCTGTCTGCCCAGCAGGTGTTTTGTGTCACCCCGTCACTCCTGCCTCACTCCAGGTCCTGGTTGTTGAGAGCACCTCAGCTCACTCAGCTTCTGGCTGATGACATGGCCATACACCACATCCTCACACCAGGACAACTTTCCAAAGCGATTCCAGCCAGGCACAGATTCCTTCTCAGGATCATCCCACCTCTGCACACCACAGATTCCAACACAATCTGTTCGCATTAGCCCAGGCACCAGTTTCCCATCCAGAGTTGTTCTGCACAAAGGTGAAAATTGTGCCCCATCTCATTGAGGGGTGGTGAATGAATGGCTGTGTGGGATTGCTTTGCAGGGTTGAACCACAAAATTGTTTTCTCCAAGAAAATCTTAGAAGAATTACCTTATAGTATGTTTAAAATATTAGTTTAAGTCAATCTAATGAATGGACATATATATGAGAGTAAAATATTAGAATAACATGTTAGAAAGAATATAGAATTATTTTTAACTTTTCAACATTGTTTCCATTCCTTTAAATAATTCAGCCAGCAGCAGACACTTGCAAAATTCCCCTGTAGGACTAAGGCTGGTTGTCTCTGACAGATTTAAAGGATCTGGGAAAGAAGCTGCAGGCAAAGAAGGAAAAGAATTTCAATGAAAGTCACAAACTATCAAGAGCTACTTTAGTTGTAATTTGGAGTGAAAAAGAAAAATTGTGTAGAAAATAAAGCAGATTTCATGTAGGTCTTGAGATTTTGTAATACATTCAAGACAAGCCAAAGTGCTAAGATAAAATCTGTGATAAAATAACATTAATTGAAAATCTAATAATAACTTTGTAGTTAACTAAAATGTTTTGATTTCAAACTCCACTTTTCACCAAACTTCTTCCATCTAGTCAAAATAAGTATGAAATTTGTGTTTGAAAATAAACTGGGCAAACAATGAAATTCACAGAGTGGTTTGCAATTGGACTTGCTGGTCTTAACAGTCTTTTCCAAACTGAATAAGACAATGATTTTATTCTGTAAAACAGTTAATGTCACTAGGGAATTCTGGAGGTCACCTAGCCTGGCCTCCTGCTCCACTCAGGATCATCTTCCAGGGGTTTTGGGTCATTTTGAAGAAAGAGACTCTTCTCCATGTAAACCCATGCAAACACACACACACACACAAAAACATGTTTACATACTTTACATACTTTATTCTATTAATTCTAATAAAAATTTAAAAGAGTGGCAAAATTCCAATCTGGCTGGAAAGAACTGAGACATTAAAAACTTCTTATTTGTTATTACTTATTGGGTAGTTATTAATTAAAGGGCTAAGGAAGATCAGAAAATAGATACCAAATATAAAATATTTAATTTCACTATAAGCTGGAAAAGACTGAGCTGTTTAGAGGAATCCTACATAGACAGGTGAATGGGTACCATAATGGCAGGTAGAATCTCTGTTGAGAAATGCACAGCAATGCTCACTGGATAAAATTATTTGAAGACATTATTCCTGAATTACAGCTGAAATTAGAATTACAGATGGACTTAAAAACTTAGAGGGGAGAAATAAAGATAACAGGAACAGGATACAAAATAGTAAGAAATCTATTATTTTCACAGTAGAGAAAAGAATTATGACCTCTCACTTGGAATTCCATGCTCAGCTGAAGTCATCCTAACATGAAAATAGCCCATGACCATTAAAATTGCCCAGACCTGAAAAAGGAAAATGATAAGTGACATGAAGAGATTTCTGTACAAGGCTAGACAGAAACTATGCCAGTTTTAGTTAGAAAGAGAAAACAAAGACATCGCAATTAAAAAAAATTAACTTTTTAAATGTGCTATTATTTACCTAATTAACTTATGAAACACTTTTCTAAGTATATGGAATTAAGAAATTGAATAGAGTTATAAAAGGATTTAAGGCAGTTCTTCCAGTACCACTATGAGCTAGGTTTTGAAACTTCTGAACTCTCTAATGCAGCTGCTTCTGAACTCCTAGTAGATATTATCTTGGAGTAAAAAGCAAACAAACAGACAAACTAGGAACTTTCTGTGTTTAGTAGAAAAGGGAAGAAGAACAGAAATAAAAATCAGAAAAATATAAAAGTACAAAAAATTTTGATAGGAAGTGAGCTTGTTGAATTACCTGAGCAGATGTCAGGCCTCAAGCTACATGTAAACACATTCTCTGTGTGAGACTTGATGTTGACATTCACCTGTACTTTACTGAAACTTAAGGGGCTCCCCCATGGCACACAATTTACAGCAGCCATTCTGTTCAGGTTCTCTCATGACACTAAAGATAGCAGTACTGAAATCAGCTTGAATAAATATGTTTACAAACTGCTGAATTCTTAGGGATTAGACCTAATGACAGAGAAATGAGAGAAGGCAGATTGGACCACTCAGGCTTTCCCCCAGATTAGCCCTATCCCATGCCACATGATTCCTGTACAGAATACAGACAGGAATGTCCTTGTTGCAGCCCTGGCTTTTTTACTCTCTGGACATCTGGTCAAACTTGGGACAAATTACATGCAAAAAGATAGCAGATATCCTATTTAAGAGATGCATCTCCTCTCACCATCCAGGCACAGAGACTGCCTAAACCCCCACAAAGGAGTTCCCATTGTGCATTATGCAGAACAAGCTCCTGTGAAATCATTCATCTCACTTCACTGGGGCCAGACCATTAGGAAAAAATATTCAGTTAGTGGGAAATGTCAAAACTGCTCCAGGCAAAATGAGCAACTGTAGAGGCATTCTCTAATCTCATTGTACTGATTTTCATGATGGGATAAATAACCCTCCACATGCTCTAATTTAGCACCCAGATGCCTCGATGTTTTTCATGACCAAATATTCTTCAAAACCACTATTATTTCCTCTTTTCCATGTGCCTATTGTTTTCTTTTATTTTTCAAGCTCCTATCTGTTTCCTCCCTGATTCTTTCCTGTTACTTTGCTTTCCTCCACTCACTCACCTTACCTTCAACCTCCATCACATCCCTTTTTTCTTATCTATGCTGGCTTTCCATACACCTTCATCTCTCCAAATTCCTTGACCTAATCTTTGGTGCATACCTTCTTTCAACACCTCCTCACAAAGCACTACTTCTAAATATCTGCCTGCAAAACAATGCCAGTAAACTGAAAGATGAACAAAAATTATGGAAAAACCTCAAAGTTTGAACGAGCAATATTATGCAGCCATTTTGCTTCTCCTCCATCCTGCCTATCCCAAAATAGCCATGTTCACTCTTCCTGACCCCTGACTTTTTTGTCAGAAAAAAAAAAAAATCAGAACTTTAGGTTCTTCAAATACACTCCAACATATTAATAAGTCAGTGAATACTTCATAGTGCTAATGATTTTTTACAAAATAATTTTTCAATGAACACAACTCTTATTTTCCATTGGTTTCCAATAAGGAGCCCTAGGATTCTTAGCAATGCAGGAACATTTTCAGGTTATGTTTTCTGATCAGTCTGAAACCATAAACTGTTCTGCTCTGAGCTGGTTCTGCATATAGTAGGATTAAGGCAAAGCAATTCATACTGCTCTACCTTTAATCTATATCAACAGGAGGGCCAATTTAGTTTGTCTAGGGCTGGTACTTAAAAAGCCTGATAGATGTAACCTGTGAGAGGCAAGCAAAATAAGAGCAAAGAGGGTATTAAAAAAAAAAAAAAAGGGAAAAAGGAATGAATATGTGAGAGAATTTCCAGGTTTGGGGAAAGGATACATTTGAGTGAAGTGATGATGCTGTATTTTGTCTCCAGACTCTAAAAGACATTTTATATTTTTACTGTAATAGACCAATGACCATGGATTGCTCCTGCTTGTAAATAATTTTTTTATAGTCTTATGATTTTTATTTATTATTTCAAACTATTTTCCTACTTTTCAGTGTGAAAATATCACTTTGGCACTACAGAAAGAAACTAATTACAAAAAAATATTTTTACTGCTAAATTTATTAGAATACTTGCACAATTTTATTATGTTTTAATATGGAACTTTACATAGTCATCTTCAATTCCCATGCTTTCATTAAACCTTTGAAAATTACAAAAAAATTACATCAATTTTATATCCATATGTGTTAAACTTAATCTGGTTGCCATTTTAGCAGGTGGTTCTATGAAACATTTTTGTAATGCTTCGACAAAGCATTTTTGTAATGCTTTTGTAATGTTACTTTGTTTTGTTATTTTATTCTTGCACAGAACAGCAGGCATTTGCTAGCAGCTCCACTTAATGGCATAGAGACAGAATTTGCTACTTCATCTCTTCTTGCTGAGGCAGCTCTGAGTGATGTGTCCTTACCAGCCAGATAATGACGACTTATTAGACCTGTGAAAATTAATGCTATTTGTCTGGAAGTAATAGAAAGACAAGCCCATGATTAAGTGCTGCACTTCCAAAATGCATCCTGTTGCATAGGAGAGGAACCTCTTTGCAGCTGCTTGGAAAACGCTGTTAAATATGGGGGATTTGCCAGGGATGAACATCGGAGGTGCTCCTGTGCTAAAAGTGCATCGTGTGGGCAATCATATATCTGTGTTCACACCTGTGTCCTTCCAGATTATCAGTAGCCACAGCCCAGGAACATAAGGTGTAAGTTGCTGTATTCTTACTCTTTCAGATTCAAAATCCTAAATCCTAATTTATTTCACAGGGTTTTTGAGGGAATTGTATCTTCATCTGTTTTGTAGAACTATGATGAGTATTTAAGCCCACTTTTTGGAATGTTAAAACTGTTAGCTGTAGAGAAAGTCACCTCCTGGTACCTCTCTGTAGCTCCTCCTGGTAGCCAGCACAGCCAGCTGAACCTGAGATCACACAAGTAATCCACAGGATACCCATCATAATTTTAGCTCTAAAAATAATATATTTCTAGCATGCCATAGAAGCACGGAGATAATCTTCATTAGAAAGGACCTCTTGATGTCATATAATCTAACCACCTTCTCAAAGAAGATTTAATCCTACCAGGTTTCCCAGTCCCAATCAAATCTTGAATGTTTCCATAGAAGGAGATTTTCAGTTTCTCTGGGCAACTTCTTCCAGAGTTTGGCCACCATCACTATAAACAAAAATTTCTTTTAATGCAAAACTGGACACAGTGCTCCATTAGCTACTCAAAAATTGGAGTGATTCCATTGAAAATTCCCTTTTGAAGAACATAATGCTTTATTTCAGTCACCTGAGAGGTGGAATGCAGTTTATAAGTCATGTCTATAAAATGTCTCAAATGTTTTCTCCACTCAACCTTTCTTTGAGCGAGTGGGAGTTTAATACCAGTAGTGAAAATAGTATCTGCTCCTGAGAAGCAATATTTATCAAATCAAAATATGCAGAAAGAGATTGTGGGTTTTTTTTCCTACTGATCTCAAATTTAATGTTCTAATTTTCTGTGGTGGGAATTACTGGAAGTCCCACAAGTAAGCGTTGTCCATAAACCATGAAATAAATTCAAACTAATACAGAACAAAATGGACACCTGTATCATAGTCCTTCCATCTCGCTTTTCCAATTTCCTCAGTCTCTTTTCATGTGCAACCCGAGGTGTTTTGAGGGTGAGAATTTTGTTCACTGTGAGCAGGTCTGGAAGCAGCCCCGCCTCGCTGCTCTTGCTGCTCCTCAGAGGCTGTAATTGCCTCCTGTAACATTTGGAGCAGAGTGTTCCACCCCACACTTTCCCAGCCCTGAACGAGCTAAGTTGGGCTGACCCAAATTGCTACTCAGCAATTTATCTTTTTAGCACCTTCATAAGGGATCTCTAATCTCTGACTGGAGATTGAATTAATTTACTAAAGTATGTGACCATACTTAACAACCTTCCTAACTCACTCATTTTCTGGTTTGGAGTCAAGATTTACATAATTATTTCTATTTTTGAGCAGTCAGGATTGACACATTTCCCAAATGCCTACGTTCAGCCATTTTTAGCTTACACTTGCCCTAGCTGAAGTATCCTAGTCCTTCATCTCTGGCTTTTTAAGTACTTGGCAGACTTTTGTTCTTCAGGGATTGCAAAGTATAATTCTATCTAGATAGGCTAGCAGTCCACTGAGACCTTTAAATAACTATGCTCTGATTATATCAAACACATCTAGGGATCTTTAATACTCTTTTTGATGTAAGGCAATTTCAGGAATTACAAAAAATAACAGGTAACATAATTTAGAGCTATTTCATTCTCTAATCAAATGTGTCAGAAATATTTAAAAAAAAAATCTCAGTTTGAAAAGTAGAAAGGGGATACTGCCTTTCTCCCTTTCCATTTTTCATAATTTCTTTATTTTTTTTTAAATGGTACCTGAAGGGTGCAAGAAGGTGCAAAGGAGGTTGCCTTTCAAAAAGTGTGCATAGTTTCTCTAAATGCTGTATCAGAATGCTGTTATTCATAGAATGACTATAATTTAAGTGCAGAGGGTTTAATATCAAGGGGGAACATTGAAAACGTAATAGATTATGTATAAAAAACGCAACATAAACAAGACAGACCTCAACAAGCCATTAATGTTTCATATTGAAGCACAAAGAAATCTGGTTGCTGTCACTGGCATCTGGTGCAGATCCTGCAGTCACATTGGGCAGAGCTTGCAGCACTTCACCTACTGGCAGATCACAGCAGATTATGGGGTCCAATACAGCTGAAGAGCATGAGGAATTACATATTTTCCTGGTGTAGTAAAGTATTTAGTATTTTTCAGCACTTGTCTCCTATTGCTGTACAAAAGAAAAAAAAATACAGAAAAGCTTGGCTTTTTTGTTGGGTTTTTTTTTGGATGTAGTTTCTACCTAAAGCAGCTTCAACAGTTCCACTCTTCATTTAAGAAGTGCTTTCACCAGTGAATCTTATTTGAGCAAGTGAAAGAGGCAATAATACCCAATCTATAAGATGTCCTTCATCCTCCAATCCAAAAAGCATCACATTTTTCAAGAAATCCTGTTACCAGTTTTCCAGGACTGAATCATAACTGTTATACACAAGAAGGCAGAATTGAGTTCCTAAAGATAACTGCACATCAAATTTCTTACTTTCTGGTAAAATTTGGGAATTAATACTTTTTAGATATACTTGACTCTATGAAATACATTTACATCTATCTATTGTTATATTTTTATACATCAATATATTTAGCCAGATACTATGTACATTTATTTTCCTTTCACATTTCAGGAAAAAAATTCTAATGAGACAAATTACTCTGTAAAGCTCCTTTGCATGGGGGAACAGATCCAGATGCCAGAAATCACTGGGGGGGAAATTAAGATTATGATAGTATGAGAGCACTTTAAATTGCTCTATTCTCCCAGGGTAGAAAAAGGAATTTAACACTCTTTCTTCTCTCTTCCATTTTTTCTCAGTCTGAAACCCTTGCTGCTTAACTCTGTGGTAAATAATATTGTATGTTAAATAAAAAAATTCAATTTCAGGAAAAAATACCATCAAGAAACAAAAACCTGTGAACTGAGAGATAAATATTGTCTTCAGCCTTAGTGTTGGCTCTGCCTCTGCCATTGGCAGGCAACATGTGGATAATGGGAAAGGCAAGTAATGGAGAAGTCTGTAATATAAAACAAAACCATGTCATTATATAGGACATTGGCAGAACATGGTTACACAATAAATTGGCAGTGTTCTTTCAGTTTGAATAAAGAATGAACACTTGTGCACTGTATTACAAAATTGATAAGTGCCTTCGAGCAAATAACTTCTTTACAGATCCATTCTGCCATCTGTGATGTTATGTAATTACCTCTAAAGGTTGTTTTGTTTTACTAAGGTTTTTGTTGCTAACATTCATAGAGTATTTGAGGTCCTTTTCTGCCACAAAATTTTGGCTTTTACTGAATGAGAAGCTAAAGAAGGGAGAGAGAGAGCACCCAACAACTCCCCAATAAATAGGTTCTAAATGACATGGGATATTTGTCATTGTGCCATGTTTCTGAACTTACCAGGTAAACACAGAGCCATGGTGTAATATTTTAATGTCATGCAAAGTTTGTCAATCTACTCTGTTTACCTCAATGCTGGTTCAAAGCCTATTGATGCACAACATGCAAATATGTCAGATGTAGAGAGGATTTGGTTCATTTGCATGTATCATAGCAGCAGCATTAACTTTTAAAGTGCATCTATTTTCTTCTTTTTTTTTTCTTTTTTTTTTTTTTATGTCTCAGAAAATTTCACAATAAAGGTTTAATTTTATTCAAAATACCTTTCCAGGAAGACTTGTTCCCACTATTGATGTTAACCTTCTTCAGCTTCCTCCAGTGCCTGCAGAAAGATGTTCATGCTGATGCTGGCCCTGCTGTGCCCTTACCACCCTGACAGAAACCACCATGCCAGGTGTGCCACTGGGTGGCAAACAGTTACCAGGCAGGACAGGAAAGCACATTTCCATGAAGCTGTGGTAGATATCTTTTCTGTAAATGTGAACATGGATGTCTCAAAGCACAGGTTTTTAAATGAGCCCAGACTTTGATTGCAAGAGCAGCCCTATTAAAATGATCCCCCTGGTGACCTGAGCAGAGTGAATCATTGCTCTTCCACGTGCTGTCACCAAGCCAGGCCCTACAGACACCTCTTCATCCATCATCATGGAACAAAGGTCTCCAGTGCCACTTGACAGATCTGATGACTCCACAGGATTGCAGAATGTGCTCTGAGACACAGGGGATCCAGGTCTGGGGCAGCAGCCCTCTAGACCACTGAATACTGCAGGTTAAGACCTTCAGTCTCTGTAAATTACATGTGGAATGTGATTCCCAGTTTGACAGAGATTAAGGCCTTCCTGGAATACTGATCTCATGCATCATTAATCCCCCTCCCCCCCAAAAAAGTAAGCCTTAAAACAAGTTTTAGTAAGAACTATTCTAAAAAACACAGTATATTCTTGCTACTTGATCAGAGTCACTGATTTAGCTTCTACCATGGCATCTCTTGGGTTTTTTATATTCTCCAGAGAATAGGGAAACTAGTTCAGGCTTTAATAAGAGAAATTACCTATATTCTGGATGAAAGATTTTAAATATTAAAATTTCAAGAACTGTTTTTCTTAATAATTTTCATAGAAATGGGGAAAGGACAATAGAGAACGACAAGAATTTAATCAGAGAAAAGTGCACATGATGTGTGCAGTGCTAAAAAAAACATTTAACCATACATGCTACAAATTTCCTGGTATTTACTACAAAGAGCTCTTCACTGCTCTGCTGTATGATCTAGGGATGAAAAGACCAATTTCTTACTTGGCTTTTTACTGGTAGGACCAAAAGCAGTCTTTAAACTTATATGCTCATCCCATCAGAACATGATAAGCCAATTTTTGGCCTACCTAGCACCTTTATCATTCATCATATTTATCTTTCAGAACACCTGCCCAAGTAAAAATTCCCACAGCTGAGACAGTATGTCAGGAAAAGGCAGACTTGGGATCGTGGGAGTAGGGCCATGATGTTAGTCAAACAGTGTAGAAGCCATGCTGAGAAACATGAAAAAGGCCAAAGTGATGAAATATGTTTTTGGAACCAGGTTGAGTTCATGAAGGAAGCTGAGGCTGTTTCAGGGAAGAGAAAGAAAAAACTCCAGCAACCAATAAATATGTTGGGAGAGTATAAAACTGAAAACTATGGTAAGCCATTCATGGATTAAACCTGGACTTGTGGTCCACATTGCCTTATACTACTGCAGAAATTTATCCATGGGCAGGGCAAACATTGAGGGCCACTGAGACACTTTCTGATCTTCTCTGGCTCAATGGCCAATGGGAAAAGAACTGTTCAGTGCAGCTTCACCAGGTATTTCTTCCTATCATCT